CACCACTTGACCACTTGCCTGCACCACTTGACTACTTGCCTGCACCACTTGACCACTTGCCTGCACCACTTGACCACTTGCTAACCTTCTAGAAGGACTGCAGCTAGCCTTCTAGTCTATAGGTCTACGGATCGAATCCGGGCTACCTATAGACCTACGACAGACCTACCTACCACTGGCGGTTCTACAGGTCGCAGGTTCAACTCTTCGAGTTGACGCWGGTATTGTACACAGGTAAGTTGGGAAACTAGGGATCGAGCCCTGGGATCTACCTCAGCTACCACGAATTGGTGAATACCGTTTCACATTGACGACAACGAAAGTAACGAGAGTTTACAGTCACGGGCGGATAGCGATGAGCGCGGAGAGCAACGGTGAACGGAACAGCAGAGATCATAATTATTGTTCACGACAACGACGCAGAGATCATAATTATTGTTGACGACAACGACGCAGAGATCATAATTATTGTTGACGACAACGACGACAATTCTAGCGGCAACCTGTAGAAAGCGACGGACTCGAGACTCCACACGTATCTGCCGAAGGTTCCGCTGGCTGAAAGGAAGATGACTCTCTGCCGAAAGTTCCTATGTCGGCCGAAGAAAAGTCCAAGTCCGAGAAACTCCTCTCAGAAAGCGGTGACGTGGATGCTACCACGGAAGTGGATCAACTCCTCAACTGTTATATATATAAGTAGCTAGCTTTAATGTGATGTACCAACTGCTTTTACGTGATGTACCATCAGCTTTTACGAATCTTGATGTACCATAAAGACGCCAAGTAAACATGAGGATGGGGGCTACCCACTGTAATGTGGCTTAGGTGCACATGTGGTTGTAAATATTTTAAGCTTGCCGGTGATGCGCGACCCTACTGTCGCCCCCTAGAATAGAAGGGGTACGTGTGTGTGTAAATAACAAAGAGAAGGAAGTACTTTGTTTTTGTTGACCCCTCTGTGGAGATTTCGGAAGGGGTTGCATGGAGGCTACCCACCGTAATGTGTGTGGCTTTTTTTTTTTCCTTTTTTTTTTTTAAGTCCATGGTGTTCTAGTGCAATAAGCCATGCCATATGTCTCGTGGAAAAACTGAGGGCCAACTCGGTCGCCCTCAGCCCAGGCCGAAAACAGGGGCAAAGACCCCACACGAATATCCAGGGCCTGGACGAGAGACAGTTGACTTTTGTCAACTGCCGTAACCCAACAGTCAAAGTCCAAAGGTACCCAGTCCAGGCCGCCCGTCAAGCACACACGCTTGTTTGTATGCAAGTACCCAGACAGCATAAGGTCCAAGTGGTTGTTTGTATGCAGGTACCCAGACAGCATAAGGTCCAAGGGGAATGTTTGCAACTGTACGATCCAGGCCTTCGCCTGTGCTTCAATCTGGACGACTGAGGGGAGGAGACCCGAGGCCAGAGAGCCTCGCCAAATGCTACTTAAAGACTGGCCTCGAGGTGGTCAGCATTCAGTTTTGCTATGCTGGCTCAACGCTGGTTTGATTATGCTAGCGCGACGCTGGCTGTGCATCAAAGCTGCGGACGACGACATGAGGGAGAGGCAACACGTTGGCATTGTACGCCAGGCGTGCTGATGTGGCGCTACCTGTGGTCTTCATGGCTTGCTGATGTAACGCTGCCTGTGGTCTTCATGGCATGCTGATGTGGCGCTGCCTATGGTCTTCATGGCATGCTGATGTGGCGCTGCCTGTGGTCTTCATGGCATGCTGATGTGGCGCTGCCTCTGGTATACGTGGCGCTGCCTCTGGTCTACGTGGCATGCTAACGTGGCGCTGCCTGTGGTATATGTGGCGTTGCTTCTGGTCTACGTGGTACTGCTATTGGTCTTCATTGATGATGTGGCATTGCCACTTGTTTTGTTTATGACGTGGCATTGTCCATGCTGTCTACATGAGGTGACTGGTTGCGAGGAAGAGGAAGATCAGGACTGTGGAGAGATCGTGAATACGTACCTGGTTGTCTTCATGTTGATATTGCTCCAGTGCTGATGAGGGACTAATTAGACGTGCCACGTGGCACATTGAGGTTACTTCAGATACTCGTTCAAACTGTCGATTATTGAAGTGGTGATGGAGGAGGGAGGCCGAAGCAGGAGTGGGCATTGTATTTATTTTCTCTACTTTGTCTAATCTTCCTCCTCTCTCCTTCATCTGTGTATGATTACCTCGTCTCATTCTGTCTGGACACGATCTTGATTATCGGTAATCATCAACTGTTGACATTTATCTGGACTTGCATTGTTGATAACTGTCTTCTCGATCTAGGTTCATTGCAATTTGGTATCTGAGCAACTCTTCATCGCGATTTGCTGTCAGCTATCAGGTGCTGACGTGACACCCAGGTAAGTGGGAGGTGCCGCATGTGCAATATAAAACGCGTTTATTAACGCGCGCGGTCATACCGCAAGTCTAGACATGCTAATAGTGCACTTGCAAGCTGTCGTCCCTTGAAGATGATGATGAAGCTACGCTGAAGATTGAAGAGCTGCGTTGGCAACAAACTAGCGTGGCGCTTGTACCGCTGATGTGGCACATTGTTATGTGGCGTGCAGGGCATGGTCTGATGTGGCACGTACCTGTTACTGCTTGCTATTGATGTGCTGAATTGGTATATTGGAGGAAGGCAACCCTGCACTGTGACATGGCATCCCTCCTTGTAGACCTCTCGGGTCTTTGATTTGCTGACGTGGAAGACTCTTTGAGTTGCTGTGTTCGCGGGCCAGGAGTGACACGTGGCATGTGTAAGGACTTTTGAAGATGTGAATGTGCACTTAGGTTGTACTGTTGATGCAGATGATTGAGAAGAGAACTAATCATTGATTGTGTTATGTGTTGGTTCTACTTACTTGTTGGTTGTCTGTGGATGCTGTGCATACTTACACTTGTGCTGTTGTCTTGATCACATTGGCTGTTATTGTGGTACCTGTAGTTGTAGAGTGTCATCACAAAGAATAAACAACAAAGTTAGACTTTAGGAAAG